ATCTTGAGATTTTTTTATTAGTTTGGGATTATTATATTTTTTTAATTTTTTTAATAAATTGACAATAAATACATATATAATTTGTAGACGTAATTATTTGAATTCAGAAACTCAAAAGAAAACTATAGTTTCTTTTATCACTCATGTCGTTTAATAAATTCTTATCTTAGACTTGATATACTCTTTTGGGTGTTTACTTCCTGTTAAAAGTCAGCACCGAAAACGGTGCATTAATGCACAATTCGGTGCAATGGTCAAAAGGAGCACACAATTGTTGAAATTGCTAAATGGTATAAGCATAATTTAGTCATTGTAATTTAGGGTATTTACAAATTAGTCCTTAAAGCTTCAACTATAAATACCCTAGCTCATTTAGCTTCAAAACCATCCCAAAGCATTCTAGCTTTCTTCCAATACTAGAGAGATTTTAGAGAGTTTCTTGAGAGTTGTTTTCTCCTTTTTATCTAGAGAGAATTATCATTGTTTTCTCCTTGGTAGATCGAGAGAGGTTGTAATTCCTATTTTCTCATAGTGAAATTCTTCTACCGTTGCCCGTGGTTTTTACCCTAAATTTTTAGGGGTTTTCCACGTAAATTTTATGTCTCTTTTATATTCATTTTTATTTTCTCAAATTATCAGTTGCGATTTTGCTCTATCCGATAGTCGTCTTCCGCAACAATTGGAATCCGAGCTAGATTAGAGTGTGTAATATCTGCTTATTGTCTTTGTGGTTACCACCAAAAGGTGAATCCTCCAACATAAGAAAGTAAGAAGTTATTACCCATTCTTTGAAGGTTCCAGAGAACTATTCACTATAGTGAAATAGTGGGAGATATCCGTAAAAGAAGCTATGTCAACGAAATTTGATATTGAAAAATTCAATGGGAGAAATTTCTCATTGTGGAAATTAAAGATGAAGGCCATCATGAGGAAAGACGGATGTCTAGCAGCTATCAGTGAAAGGTCGGTAGATTTTACAGATGACAACAAATGGATCGAAATGGACGGGAATGCTATGGCAAACTTTCATCTAGCATTAGCAGATGAAGTATTGTCAAGCATCGAGGAAAAGAATACATCTAAGGAGATATGAGATCATCTCACCAAATTGTACGAGGCCACATCGTTGCACAATAAAATTTTCCTTAAGAGAAAATTATACACTCTCCGTATGCCAGAATCTACTTCAGTGACGGAGCACTTAAACACACTGAACACGTTATTTTCTCAGCTTACATCCTTAAGATGTACAATAGGAGAACAAGAACGTGTTGAACTTCTACTTCAAAGTCTACCTGATTCGTATGATCAACTCATCATCAACTTGACAAACAGTAATGTCACCAGTCTAGTCTTCGATGACGTTGCAACTGCTGTTCTCCAAGAAGAAAATCGGCGCAAGAACAAGGAAGACAGACAAGTAAATCTGCAACAAGTAGAGGCATTGATAACGATGAGAGGGAGATCAACAGAACGTGGCCAAAGCAGCAGTCACAAACATGGTAGATCGAAGTCGAGGAGCAAGAAGAATTTAAAGTGCTACAATTGTGGAAAGAAGGGTCACTTGAAGAAGGATTGTTGGAGTCTAAATAAAAACTCCAATCCACAAGGTAATACCGCAAACACTTCAGATGATGGAGATGCACTATGCTGTGAAGCGTCAACCACCGTGGAAGGAAGAAAAAGATTTGCAGATATATGGCTCATTGATTCAGGAGCAACATATCCCATGACCTCAAGAAGAGAATGGTTTCATCAATATGAACCTGTCTCAGGAGGATCTGTGTATAGTTGTAATGATCATGCCTTAGAGATCATTGGCGTGGGAACCATCAAATTGAAGATGTATGATGGAATAATTAAAGTTGTTCGAGATGTGCGGCACGTGAAAGGCCTAAAGAAAAATTTATTATTCTATGAATTGTTGGATAATAATGCAAGCAAGATTGAAACACGGAAGGAATCATGAAGGTGTTCCGTGGAGCGCTTGTGGTGCTGAAAGGTGAAAAGATAGCTGCAAACTTGTACATACTGAAGGGAGAGACATTGCTAGAAGCAGAAGCCTCTGTTTCCTCATGTAGTTCAGATTCTACAATGCTATGACATCAGAAACTTGGACACATGTCAGAACAAGGAATGAAAGTCCTTGTGGAGCAAAAACTACTTCCAGGCTTAACAAAGGTAATACTTCTTTTGTGTGAGCATTGCATAACAAGTAAGCAGCACCGGTTGAAATTCAACAAATCAAATTCTAGAGGCAAAAATGTTCTAGAATTGGTTCACTCTGACGTATGGCAGGGATGTTATCTTTGTAGAAGATAAACTACAAAGAAAAGAAGACGATGATAGCGCTGAAAAGTCAGAGACTACTCAGATACATGTGGAAAAAGAGTTTGAACAAGGAGATTCTTCTGAAGCAGAACCAGCACATGATGAACAAGAACCAGAGAGTTCTGAAGCTCCAACAACTCGTCAATCAGATCGTGTGAGAAGACGTCCAAATTGGCACTCAGATTATGTTATAGAAGGTAATATTGCATACTGCCTTTTAACAGAGGATGGTGAGCCATCAACATTTCAGGAGGCAATAAATAGCTCAGATGCTTCACTGTAGATGATGGCGATGCAAGAAGAAATCGAAGCCCTTCATAAAAATAATACATGGGACCTTGTGCCACTACCACAAGGAAGGAAGCCAATTGGTAACAAATGGGTCTTCAAAATAAAGCGAAATGGTGACGATCAAGTTGAGAGGTATCGTACAAGACTGGTGGTCAAAGGATATGCTCAAAAAGAAGGTATTGATTTTAATGAAATATTTTCTCCTGTGGTTCGACTAACAACAGTTCGAGTAGTTTTGGCAATGTGTGCTACATTGGACTTACATCTAGAGCAGCTAGATGTTAAAACAACTTTTCTTCATGGAAATCTTGAAGAAGAAATTTATATGCTCCAGCCTGAAGGTTTTGAAGAAGAAGAAAAGAAGAACTTGGTTTGCAGGTTGAACAAATCTCTGTACGGTCTAAAGCAGGCGTCGAGGTGTTGGTATAAGAGATTTGATTCCTTTATTATGTGCCTTGGATAGAACAGACTTAATGCAGACCCTTGTGTTTATTTCAAGAGGTCTGGTGATAACGATTTTGTTATATTGTTGTTGTATGTGGATGACGTGTTGGTTGCAGGACCCAACAAAGATCATATTGAAGAATTGAAGGCACAACTGGCTAGGGAATTTGAAATGAAGGACTTGGGATCAGCAAACAAGATTCTAGGGATGCAAATTCACCGAGACAGAAGTAATAGGAAGATTTGGCTTTCACAAAAGAATTACTTGAAGAAAATCTTGTCACGATTTAGCATACAAGATTGTAAGCCAATTTCTACCCCTCTTCCTATTAACTTCAAATTATCCTCCAGTATGAGTCCTAGCAGTGAAGAAGAGAGGATGGAGATGTCTCGAGTACCGTATGCATCAGCAGTGGGAAGTTTAATGTTCGCTATGATATGTACAAGACCAGACATTGCACAAGCAGTGGGAGTGGTTAGTCGGTACATGGCTAATCCAGGCAAAGAGCATCGGAATATTGTAAAGAGGATCCTAAGATACATCAAAGGGACCTCAAATGTTGCATTATGTTACGGAGGATCAAACTTACTAATCAATGGGTATGTAGATTCTGACCATGCAGGGGATTTGGATAAAAGCAAATCTACTACATGATATGTGTTCAAAGTTGCTGGTGGAGCTGTAAGCTGGGTTTCAAAATTGCAGTCAGTTGTGGCTACGTCCACAACAGAGGCAGAATATGTAGCAGCTACACAAGCCAGTAAAGAAGCAATTTGGTTGAAGATGCTATTGGAGGAGCTTGGGCACAATCAAGAGTAAGTCTCTCTGTTTTGTGACAGTCAAAGCGCCTTGCATCTAGCAAGGAATCCAGTATTTCATTCAAGGACAAAACACATACGAGTTCAATACCATTTCATTCGTGAAAAGGTGGAAGAAGGGACGGTAGATATGCAGAAGATCCATACCAAAGACAACATAGCAGATTTCATGACAAAGGCAGTCAATACCGATAAATATACTTGGTGTCGATCCTCATGTGGCCTGTCAGAAACGTAAGCAACATGATGGAACAAGGTAGAAAGAATTGTGTAAAGATATGATTGTTTCAATCAAATCTTCAAGTGGGAGATTGTTAAAAGTCAGCACCGAAAACGATGCATTAATGCACAATTCGGTGCAATTGTCAAAAGGAGCACACAATTGTTAAAATTGCTAAATGGTATAAGCATAGTTTAGTCATTATAATTTAGGGTATTTACAAATTAGTCCTTAAAGCTTCAACTATAAATACCCTAGCTCATTTAGCTTCAAAACCATCCCAAAGCATTCTAGCTTTCTTCCAATACTAGAGAGATTTTAGAGAGTTTCTTGAGAGTTGTTTTCTCTTTTTTATCTAGAGAGAATTATCATTGTTTTCTCCTTGGTAGATCGAGAGAGGTTGTAATTCCTATTTTCTTATAGTGAAATTCTTCTACCGTTGCCCGTGGTTTTTACCCTAAATTTTTAGGGGTTTTCCACGTAAATTTTGTGTCTCTTTTATCTTCATTTTTATTTTCTCAAATTATCAGTTGCGATTTTGCTCTATCCGATAGCCGTCTTCCGCAACACTTCCAATTGTATGTATTTATGTATATATTGTATATGGTTATAAAAATTCATTTAAATTAAAATCAAATAATATTATTCCATTGGAAAATCAAAGAAACGATCGAGCTACAACACGTGGACAGCTCAATTCAATAAGGAAGAAGCTTCTAAGAAATCTGGAAATATATAATAAAAAAATCCAACATGCAAACAAGGATTAGGGTTCATTGACTTTCCAAGAAAAAATACAATATTTGTCTTCCTTCCTATTCCATCTAAAACACCTGTCTATAAAACACGCTATAACTTGTTCAAGAAAAGCCTGTATTTTCCATCAACTGTGATTCTCCTCTCATTTTTTTTCCTGTTCTTACATAAGCGTTAAGTTCATTTCACATATATTAAGGAAAAGCTGTAATAATGCGAGCTATGTCGAGTATTTCAGCATCGATCTGTCTGTGCAAAGTTGGAATGGATTCGTCCGGCAAATTGCAGACTGCCATTATAGGTTTTGGTCATTCCTTGGTGATAGCAAAACACAAGGCAAAATACCATATTCCAAGGAATCCGAATCTGCAATCGCTGGGCACTGCTCTTAGGTTGCAACATGCTGACAGAGACAACAACATGGTCGTTTGTTGCAGTGTTGGATCCGGACCTTCATTTCCTTCTAATCCTGGTCCTAGTTCCTGGTTAGTCTCATTTAACATTTTTTATTTTTCAATTATAAAAATGATTACCATTTTTTTCATAATGACAAAAAAGTCTTTCTAACATTTGATTGAATAGTCAATTTTTCTCTTATCATTTTTTTATCACTTTAGCTTTCAATGTTTTGTTTTGGGGTAAAAGAGCCTATAGTTGGATGTAAACCGTTAGCTTACCAATAGTCAACACTTATTGTTGATGTGATAAGTCATATATATGTATTTAAATTGATGAAATGACACATGTTGCATGTATATAAATGATAACGTTGCGCATGAAACATGTGAGTAAGTGATGATGTGGCATGTTTAGACACACAAAACTTCCCGGGTTAGCGACAAACTTTAATTGTTAGTTAATTAACGATTTCTACTTAATTAGAGGATATTTTGTTCTAAAATATTTTAAAAGGAAAAGGGTTAAAGGGACTATTTTGTGAAAACATGTTTTAAAATAAAAGAAATAGGAACTAAAGTGACTGTTTTATGAAAGGTTAGGAGTGAATTTTGGAATTTTTTTTCAACAGGAAACTCTGGGTTATGGGAATTCTGATGAGTATGGTTCTACCCTTTTGGAGGAGCAAATGGGGGCCATTGTTAAAACTGAAAGGTTTGGATATATAATTAAGTTATTCAAATTGCATTCTCCTCAATATATATTAATGCTTTATTATTTTATATATGTGTACAGATGAAGTTGAAACTGTGATAGACAAAGTAGAAGCGGCGACGGACATTGTTGAAAAGGTGGCTGAGCAAGTGGAGGGGGTGGCGGATGATATTGGAAACCATCTGCCGGAAGGCAGACTTAAAGATGCCCTTGAAATAGTTGAAGATATAGCTAAAAATACAGCTGATGGTGCACGCTTAGCTGGAGAATTCATTGACAAGGTTTCTTTCCTTTTTCCTTGCCATTTTCTAATTTTGACAATTGTAAGATACTGAAAAAGCAACCATATGATATATAACATATTCCTAAAAACGGACTTGTCTTCGTTTAATAGTTTAAAATAATATTTTTCTATAAATTTGTTTGAAAATAACATGTGTAAATGTCATGATTCGAACCCACATAAAATGAAATAATATAAATATTTTTAATCCCTCGATCAATTAATGAGACAACACGGGCAATTGACCATTCTTAACAACTCACTCAACCCTTGTTTGTTCTCATTTTGCATTCATGCATCTAAAGGATTTGAAGAAAAAATATTTGATTTTTATTAAAATATAATTAAATTTATACGATACATAATTAATTATTATAATTTGTGAGTAAATGTGTAATATATTGTTTTAAAACAAAAAAAAATGCAGGTAGAGGAAGTGGAAGAAAAGGTGGAATCTTGGATGGAACAAAACAACACTGTGAAAGAAGCAAAGAAGACGAAGGGGAAAGAAGCCGGCACCTAGGGTCAGGCTTAGGCTAAAACGTATATATCATTTAATATATTAATTTTTATGATTTAAAAATTCATTTTTTATTATATTATTTTTTTGAAAAACAATCCCTATTGCATTTTTTTCTTCAAATTAGTGTGATTGTTATAACTTTTTTTCATATTTTTTGGATTAAAATAAAAAAATAACATTGATCAACAAATTAAAAAGTTCCTTATTCTTCTTCTTTTTTTAAAAGATATTTAAATATATTTAATATAATTTTTAAAGATATTTACTTAAGTTACAACAAATTAAAAAGTTATTTAAATTATGGATATTATTTACGGGAAGATATTATAAAAATAAAAAGTTCAATAATTATTCATGTATTGAACACAATAACAACGTTGAATTTACTAAATTGTAGCAGCAGAATTATGAATACAATAAGTTAAACAAATAATCGATGTTATTTATAATAGATTTAATTATGAGAGAAAATTAAATCATAGAATTTTCAATTAAAAGTTTTATACTTTTATGGGATTTAAACTTTAAAATTTTAGTCCATGTACGAAATAAGTAATTTTAGTTAAGTGATTTATCGTTATTTTTCAAGATATTAAATTCAAACATTATATATATATATATAAATTAATGATGATTTAAATAATTTATTTTAAAAAATATTTTTGTGATAATTATATTAAATAAAATAATAATTAAAATCAAGTCCAGCTGAGAAGCGCAATTTGGACTAACCCAACTTTTGATCGTGTGTCGGTGCAATTGTGAAATGTAAATAAAAAAGGTCCGCCAACTAATAAATTTTGCTGACACAACACACAAATGACTGTCCAATAATTTTATTGCAACTCATTAAAAATATTATCTTGGAATACCACGTGGCCTAACTCTATTGGAGTGTACTTTAAGTTTGCCTTTTAACACATTTCTCCACCTAAATACGGCGCAAATTTTCCACCGTTTTCATCACGTCCACCTCCTTTCCTCCCATGACTACGCACGCCATCACATAAAGATCTAATTTTATCCGCAGTCCCTGTAGTGATCACACAGTTGAAATTTAGTCCTTCTTTTTGTAATTCCAAGAATTTAATCTATAATAATACCATAAAAAATCTCCATTAAACAGAATTATGAAATATTTAAAAATTGCTCAAATGTTCAACTTTAATTCATGTGCAAACTATGTAAGCAAAAAATTGAAAAAACAAACAAATTTTTATTATGCTTCTTTATAGGAGTGTTGAATAACTTTACCAAACTTAATTTAGAATAAAAATTTATTCAATTCTAAATTTAATATTAGAATAAAAATTTATTCAATTCTGAATTTAATATTATATATATATATATAAATTAATAAGCTAGATGAATATAAATAGACAATTGAGATTAAAATTTTATACCTTAATTTTAACTTTTTTCAGTTTTTTTGGAAAAAATAGAATAATTTTTTATTTCATTTATCTCATGATTATATTTTTTTTATAAAATTAATGAGTTTTAAACGATACAAACAAATCTTATCTCTATTTCTATCAACTTATTTAGCCTTATATCACATAATCCAATTTAATAAAATTCATTTTAAAATAATAATGGAAGTATTTTGATGGTAATACCAATTATACTTTCAATGTTAAATTAAAAGATAATAAAGACAAATCTTCAAATGTACAGAAAATACAGGGACTATGATCACAATTATACCTCACCGAAAGCATATGGTTGGTTAAAAGGTTTTAAAGCATCCATCCTACAATCAGGTGGACCACTCAATCAGAGCCGTTCATTTTTTCCTTTTCCAACACCTTTAAAACACACAGACGAAATTGAATTTAAACAGTCCAAAAGCTCCTCCCATGAAGTCTCTTGGAAACGCACCCACACAAAAGCTTTTATATAGAGCTTGTAGATCCCTCCAATGGCGATAGCAATCAAATATGATACGAAGCAAAACCCTAATGGAGAACCTTATATCAAAAAAAAGATTTTGCAGCAGTTGCAGGTGGTGGTGGAAGAAGACGATCCGTGATGCCTAATGATCAAGCGGCCTGTTGCAGGAAACACCCGAAGCACAGGCAATCCCCAGGCGTTTGTTCTCTTTGTTTGAAAGAGAAGCTTTCACGTTTATCGACTAGTTCAAGCTCACGTTGTACTACGATTGCCTCATCTTCTTCTTCTTCTCTTTCATCGTATTGTTCTTCGTGTTCAGCTTCTTCTTCTTACGCATCTTCTCCCATGCATCATCGTCACCGTTTTCCTAAAGAAGGAAAAGATGGGTTTTTTTTGTTAATGATTAATGGGAAAGATGTGTTAAGTAAGAGCAGATCGGTGGTGTTTGGTTCGAGATTGACAAGGGAAGAAGGGAAGAACAAAACTGGGTTCTTGTCTAAGTTGCTGCATCCAAGAAGGGTTCATTAATGGCGGGCATTTTGTTCCATTTACTAATGTTTTATATTTCTTTTGCATTCATCAGATTGTAAAATTTGTACAACTTTAGAGAAGAAGCGGATCAGTTCTACGTTTATGTATGTAAGTTGCAGATAAAATAACAATACATTTATTTGTACATGCAGAAGCTTTGATTTTAAACACTTATGTAATAGTTTATACAGCAAAAACATTCTGCCAAAGGAATACCCTTAATCTGATGAATCAGTGTGGTGGAAAAATTCAAAGATTCAAGCTGATTCATTGTATATATATATATATATATTTGTACTTCGATTTACTTTTCAGAATCGAAAAAGAGAGAGGAAAAAGCCTAATTTGACGGCTAGTAAAAGACATGTTGAACTCTCAAGTCTCAAGTTCTTAGCAACTTCCTATGGTTCAACCTTTTTAAGCTGCCATAACTTATACTTTATGGATTGATATTTAACAGGTGGCAAGAAAAACCCAGATCAAATTCTGGGCAATTTCCATAACTTGAAAGTTGGAACTCGTTGATGATGAGATTTAAGTTGACAATTTTGATTAGAGGACCGCTTAAGCTTAAAACGTGTTTGACTTTGACTTGGGGGATATATGCTTTACACCAAAAATCTAAGTCTATATACCACATAATTTTTATTTAATCAAATTGTTTGTTAATTTTTTAAGCATAAACAAAATAATATATATATATATATATATATATAATTTTCATTAAAAATAATTGAAATAAAAAATTTAAAATTTGATTTAAAATCTTACACCCATTGATATTGGTTTATGTACATATGTACCATTTGGTATCAACCGAAATATAAGGAAACCTTCACAAGACATGAAAAAATTCCTTAAAATAAAATTTAAATTTATTAATATCTGCATGAACCAAATGATCTCGGTGGTAAAAAATTATTCTTATTCCTTGATATCTTAGATTCGAGCATCATGAACGTGAGAAGTATGAGCGTTCAATATCAAATAGTTGAGAGTTACTTTGAACATATACAATTTTATACTTACTTCAGATTAATAAAAAAATACAAGTATATATTAACTTTTTTTATTTTCATTAGGTTAAATAAGAAACTAATTGTAAAAAATTACATAGAGAGGAACATAATTATAATTATTCTTAAATATATAAAAAATAACTATATTATTTTCTTAGATCGAGTCCATTCAAATATATTTACCCTAACCTTGATTCTAACTCAAACTTTTCAAAACCTCTAACCGACTTGATCTTAGTGGGCAGCTAACCTTGGTTGTCCACTTCCGCTAGATGGTTGCAAGAACTTGGCCGGCGATTATTTAATTTAGTGCTGTGAAGAAGGTGATAATCAATAAGATCTTGGTCACCATCCATGGTTTTCCATCTTTATTGTCCTCATCTGATCAGAAATGTAAAACCCATAACTAATTTTAGTATCAAACCTATATTCTTCAGGTTTGAATTTGAGTTTTAGAGAAGAATCTAATGAAAATATACATTGGCCGGCGATTTCTCTTCATTATTCTTTCATCTCCCAATGATAAAAGAGAATCTCCGTCATTTCATACACGTGTTGCCTCTGCAGTAAAAAGATAGGAGGGTTCCAGGCTTTTCACCTTCTAGCGCTAGCCACGACTTTGTTTTTGTCTGGTAATGGTGACGTTTTGATGGGGGCCGGGTTGTCACTTGTCAGCCGCAACTAACTTTGAAATAAAACCACCCCAATGAGCTCTCTTCTTACGTTATTTACACTGTTTGTTTCCCCAGAAAGATCAAAGATTTGCAGTGCAAAGAAAAACCATGGATGGTTATGAGATTATGAAGGATATTGGGTCTGGGAATTTCGATGTGGCCAAGCTTGTTAGGGATAAATGGACAAAAGAACTCTTTGCTGTTAAGTTCAATGAAAGAGGCCACAAGGTCTCGTCTTCATAACCTCTTTCCTTTTTCTTGTTTCTAATTGGATTCTCTGTTCGAGATTTGGGTTTGTTGAATGAATTTTATGTTACTTTTTTTGTTGCAGATTGATGAACATGTGCAGAGGGAAATCATGAATCATAGATCGTTGAAACATCCCAATATAGTTAGATTCAAAGAGGTATAACCCTTCTGATCAGGGATTTACATTTCAGTTGTGGTCTGTTTATCGCGATTGCGGTCTACTGGTGCTGCTTAGATTTGATCAATGCTTTTTGCAGGTTCTTCTTACGCCTACACATCTAGCCATAGTCATGGAGTATGCTGCAGGTGGAGAGCTCTTTGAACGCATTTGCAGTGCTGGTAGATTTAGTGAGGATGAGGTAAAAACATAAATTGAAAATACAGAACAAATCCGTAATTGGACACTCGCACAAGAATCTGTAAAACGAGGTGGAAGAGAGTGTTTTTAGTCTATTATGTTGCATAATACAGTTTCTCATTTATAAATCTTCCATTGGAGATGTTAACAGGCTAGGTTTTTCTTTCAGCAATTGATATCTGGGGTCAGTTATTGTCATTCCATGGTATGCAACTTTGGCTTCTACATTTATATTTCTTCAAATATTGTAGTTCTACTGTTTTTTGTTTATGGAAATTTCTGTTTTGCAGCAAATATGTCACAGGGATCTTAAGCTCGAAAACACTCTCCTTGACGGTAGCACTGCACCCCGTGTCAAAATATGAGATTTCGGGTACTCGAAGGTGACACCATCAAACTGATCTAATCCACATTTTTGTAGACTGCATTGAGTTTTTTGTTCTGATTGCAGTCCCCTGATTTTGTAGTAATCTGTGTTGCATTCTCAACCGAAATCTACCGTAGGAACACCGGCTTACATTGCCCCTGAGGTTCTATCGAAGAAAGAATACGACGGCAAGGTGATATATACTTGTACATATAGTTCACTTTTCTTGTTCTGCAAGTAACATCCCAGAGTTACCTACAGATTGCAGATGTTTGGTCATGTGGAGTCACCTTGTATGTTATGTTGGTTGGGGCATATCCCTTTGAAGATCCTAATGATCCGAAGAAATTCGGAAAAACAATTGGGGTCAGTGTTTTATCATGATTTGATAATCAATGCAATTAGTTGAGGCTTTTCCCTAACTCACTTGGGAGGTTCTTCATGACAGCGGATACTCAGTGTTCACTACTCGTTCCCGGACGACGTCTGAGTTTCCGTGGAGTACAAACACCTTTTATCTCGGATATTCGTGGCAAATCCTGAAAAAGTAATGCATTTGAAAGCTAGTTGCCGGTTACTCCGGCCGATCATTTGAATTGTTTATATCTGGTTTATGTTCATGTTGTTGGTGCAGAGAATAACTATACCGGAAATTCGAAGCCACCCTTGGTTCTTGAAGAACTTGCCGATGGAACTAATGGAAGGTGGAAGCTGGCAAAGACACGATGTAAATAACCCTTCACAAACCATGGAAGAAGTGCAGAGCATCATACAGGAAGCCAAGAAAACTACCGAGGTTCCGAAAATCGGGGAACTTTCCATTGGAGGAAACATGGATTTTGATGATTTCGATGTTGATCTTGATGATGTAGAGACAAGTGATGATTTTGTATGCCTACCGTGAATAAAAAATCTGAAACAAATTCAATCTCAATGTCATCAACAACAGAGTTTTACTAATGAATGATGCAATAAAACAATCTCTTAAAGAATTTACCTGCCTAACATATATACCCATGTATATTATGAACTGAAATGTTTATTTTAAGCCAGAGTCGAACAAGTCCAATAAAACTGGAAGAAGGTACTTTCTTCAATTGACACCATCCACCGGAAGGTGGCCGGCATAGCCTGCATAAGCTCCTTTACCATAAATCCCAAGACAAGCCGGTGCAGCCTCCGATGGTGCCTCTTTTGGACCCTGATAGTAGCTGTTTCCTAAAGGGTTCGTGACAGTCCCTGCCAAGAGGCTAGCTAGGGTGCAACCAATGGTGGGTTCTGTGTAGGGATGGGCATGGGTTGGGTTTCCGGCTAACTCTACCCGAAAATATACACTATTTATATGAAATTTGACTTGACTCGGATTTGAGATGACTTCACTCAACTCGAAGCTCGACCCTGATACAAAGTCCAAACCCGACCCTATCAACACATATTTTCGTCCTACTAGGATTCAAACTCCTAAAAATAGGATAAAATTTTGCTAGGATTCAAACTCCTAAAAATATGATAGAGTTCTACTAAGATTTAAATTCCTAAAGATATGATCCACAAACACTATAAATAGCCATTGTAACTCACCATTGTAACACAGGATTTACACACAAAACATAGAGGAAAGCACGGGAAGATACAAAGGCAAAACTATTGTAAAGGATTCGAAAAGGAAATAAAAGGTAGTATTTTCTTTTTTCTTTCTTTTGCATGTGCACGTTATTTTTCTTGAGATTTGGTTCGAATAACCCAAAACGTGGGTTGCGCCGATGACCAAAATGGTTCGAAGTTTCGAACCTAGATCTACCCCGAGGCTTATTTTTAAAAACCGGTTTGATTTTCGGTTAAAGGAGGGAAGAGCTTTTTAAAAATCTATATTAGTCCCTTTATTTATTATATGAATATTTTATTCATTTATTTTTATTATTCATGTTATTATTATTATATGTATATATATATATATATTAAATTATTTTCATTTATTTTTTTACTATATTTTATTATTATTATATATATATATATTTCTTTAATATTTTACTTATAAATCTAATATTACTACATATAATTATTACTTTACTATTTTTTTTTTCTTATCTTACTTATTTATTTTATTTTTCCCTTGTATCTTATTTGTTTTATTTACCTTGTTTATCTAACACATTTCTCGATTTTTTAAAAGATATTTTCAAATCAATCAAGGGTAAGTAATTAGGATCGAAACTTTACCTTTTAATTTAACTTGTTATTTTTCTTAATTAAGACAACTGGAAATTACGTAGTACCGAAAGGGCGGTTCAAGGGTGCTAATCCTTCCTTGACCATAACCGACTCCCGAGCCCGACATATTTCTGGTAAGACGCAGATCAGGTAAGAAATAGGGTATCCGATCAACCCATTTATTTTTAAATAAATGATCGGTGGCGACT